TTGTAATAACATCAAAATCAGTCAAAGTCGCAGTTCTTGAGATAAAAAAAATTGGAAAAATTCCTTTACTTTGAAACTAAAAGATCTGCCTACCAACTTTTTATTAACATATTTTAGTATGGGCGGCTATACGTGCCTCCCGGCGCTAATTTCTTTTGTCCAATTAGAAATGTTGTAATATTTGATGTTTTGGAAAATTATTCCAGATTGTATATATTTTTCCACCATGGTGCATATTCAGATTAAATTATGTGTCACAATTATTATGATGCACAATTGTGCATCTAAAAACATTTTTGAAGCGAATCCCTTAACAAATCAAATTAATGTGCTAAACAGGGATTTTGCCATTCGTCACCTATCCACATTCGAGCTATCTTTTTACAGTTTTGCTGAAAACAACCGATATCCCGATTTTTTCCTTAATAATCAAAATATCATTAAATGGGGCAAGAAAATCGGTATATCGGTATCTAGTAACGCTCTGCAGCAAAAACTATTTGATAGAGTGAAGCTACTGTTTTACTTATACTATGATAATACCTCGAATATCTGTAAAACCGATTAAAGATTTTGAAACAGTCTAAATACAAAAAAAGATGTTCATTTCTCTAATTTTGTATTGAAAGGAAAATTTATAAACATGGTTATTAATTTAAAAAATACCTGAATTACTTTATATTTTAACAATTTTACCATTAAATTTTAAACACCCTGTGCAATTTACGGTTACAATATTTATACACTTGGTACAAACCAATTATAATAAACAACCAGCGTGATTTTGATATCAGACTGTCAATTGGTATTGCAGTAATTGTCCTACTAAAGATTTTCTTATATGCCGCGAAACACTTAAATATGTATATTTATTTATTTATTTCTCTAGAACTACCAGTAGGAATGTAATAGGATTTTAGGATTATACAGGATGGCCCGAACTGTATTCCGGTAACTTCGGCATCATATTCTGGTGATAAAAATAAGTAAAAAAGTTCGTATAAATGTATGTCCTAAAATGCTTAATTCCGGAATACGTTGGAGTTTCATTTTTATTTCTATTTTTTCCAAATAATTTTTGAAGTAACGTCAATATTTGGATGAAAATTGGTGGGTTTTTTGACATGAGAAATTTGTTTTTTTTATGTCAACATGACTCCTACTTGTAGAGGGCGCCACCTACATATTTTTAACTGGTCTGAAAAGTACCCAAGCAGCATTTGGACGTCGGGACAACGTTGTGTCACGCGACCAAACGTCGCACAGTGCCATTGTCATGTCGTCGCGATTGCCATTTTTGCGGCCAGAACCTTATAAAACAGAAATTGCTTTTTCAAAAAGTTTTGATGACCATAGAATACAGAAAAGACCTAAATATTTTATTATGCACAGAAAAAATTTTTGGATGCAGATCTGTAACCAGTGAAGGGCTGTAATGTCGAAGGTTTAGTTCTACCGTGTATAGTAATTGCAATTTGTAGGGCCCGAATAATAAGTAAAATTTCTTGGTTAATTTTTAAATACAATTATTTTTTTGCAGTTTTTATAAAAGTACAATACTACTTGACTATTTCTAGCTATATTTTGAAAAAAAACCTTTTTCACTGATGCATACTAAATTAATTAATAAATTAGTATAATATAAAAAATAAAATATGCTATTTAACCTTGAGTTTTGTTGAGTGCCCAAAGTTGCCCAATTTATTGGCTGATGTTTTTTGAAAGATTGGACATTACCCTTCATGTATTTGTTACCATCTTGCGCAACTTTGCGCAACTTTAAAAAAAATATTTTTAAATGTAAGTATGTCCTTGGTATACTTTGAGTAATAGATACTATAGGTCTTTATGATTTATTTAGATTAAGTTCGTGTGATTTTAATAAAATCTGATACTCATGAATCGCCTGTAATCAAGCACATAGTTAGGGGGTCCAAGGGTCCTAGACCCTTCAGTCCCACCCCACCTCAAATCTAAAAATTTTGTGGGTTTTAACTGAATTAATGCTTAGATCGAGGCTTAGATAATATACAACTCCCCACTCCTTTTTTATCTGTTTAATGGAACAACATGGAGATTTGAAGTAAGGCAATATGTTTAAAAATATTACGTTTTAGTCTAAATATGACAGTTTAAAATTTCAAGATGGCTGCTTAACTTATTAAAATATCCGCACGTAAATTCAAACTATGATATGTACTAAAATAATGAACCGATTTTAAAAATTTAAGCATTTAAACAAATTATTTTTAACTAACCTAACCTAACACATTACATTACGCTAAATTTCAAATCTTTTAGTTGCTCCAATCCAAAAAATAGAAGGAAAAAAAATTCCAGCACCCAAAACCACCCTTTCTCAGAAATGGTTATTAAAATTTTTGGAACCCCCCCATTATCCGAAATTAATTTTTAGATGCCTGTAATAGGTACTCGAAAAATCTAGCCCGTACTTTCTTGATTACTTGCCGACTACTCATTTTGAGACATGTGAGACCACGATTGAAAATAATTATTTTTTTACTTCTTCAAAACTAGAATCCAAAAACAATATTTATTTTTTTATCAAAGTTGTTGGTTACATACGGATAAAAAAATATATCAAACAGACCGATAAACAGACAGACAGACACACAGACATGCCACAAGACAACAATATTCGAAATGGCTTGCAAGGCAAAAGTGTAAAAGTTTTGTCATCCGGGTATTTTTCCTCACATTATATTGATGAGCTAATATGCTGGGTATATACGTGAAGTATAATTTAATTAACTAAAATTTTGAAGATTGACTACATAGAAATTCAATTAAGCAAAAACTGTTAAATTCTATATATTTTTGGTTGATCCATATATCTTTGAAGGTTTTGGCCAACGATTCTTCAATCGGCCCCACCGTGCGTCGGGGCGCAACGTCGGCACAACCTCGTGCCAACCCTAGTCTGCACTAGTTTGGAGAATAATTTTTGGATCGAAACGACGTTGGATACCTACGTTGGCTAGCAGCCTAATTTAGTACAAACTGCAACGTTGTTTAAAATCCTAATTAACAGAAATACAAAACTATAATAATATGGCGTCTAAGTCCTAAATTGGGATAATTATAGTAAAAATATTATTTTTATGATTTAGTTAGATACATATGCCAGATGGCGGTAAAGGAAAACAAAACAAAAGTATTTAAGTGTGGAGGATGTTTGAAGATCATAATTATTGAAACACTTTAACCAACTCTGTAACTCGCGTTACCCAAGGCAAAAAAGTTAAACGCAAACAACTTTATTGATAAATGTATTGTTTCTACTTTGAAAAATACTAATGGGCCTTAAAATTAAAGAAGTTTTAAAAAATTTCTTGAATATTTTTTTAGTAAAATGAAAATAATTTATTCGCAGTTGAAAAAAAATTCCGCGTGTTGTTTAGGGCCAAATATTTCAAGTTAATGTATTAAAAAAGCAGAAATTGCTATTTTAGGAACGAGACATTTTCTTATTCAACAACATGGCGGCTTTCACTTTGTTGTCTTGGAGATTAAGATGGAGTAGTTCGAGTAGTCGCATACTGGACTAATAAAGTCGCAGTTCAGCCTTAACAGGTAGTATACTAGTCGCAAGATTGCCTAATTTAGTCATCCTAGAGTCTAGCTTGTGCCGCCCTCTATATTCTAAATAAACGAGGGAGTGGATAAAGTATCGGTAATATATCGATGTATATTTAAATTTATTTATATGTGCCTTTCTTACGTCCCATTTTAATTAAGTTTTTTTATAAAAACAATAACAGCACTAAACTGTCTGACTGAACAGAACAATGAAGTGAAAATTTAAGATTTAAGGTTATGGTTCAATACAGTTGCAAAAAGATAGTGGCTCGACGTCCTACCAACGTAAGAATAAAGAAATCTACCTAAACAACGTTGGAATTAGTAAAACAGACAACGTTTGCATAACGTTGGAATAGGTCCTGAAAGTGATGTCGGAAAACTCTTTATTGCCCAACATTGTAACTACGTTGTCCGAATCACCTGATAATGACTTAAGCAAAAAAGGTAACAAGACAACGTTTATTCGACGTCGCAGAAGCTTTTACTTTGTTGTAGTACTAGTTCAACGTCGGCACAACGTTACAACAACGTTTACATTTATTTTAATACCCCAGGTACAGAGCTAACTATTTTTTGTAACTAATCCAACGTTGTGTTTAGTAAACATGTGGTCGCAAGTCGTGAAAATGCTACTTGGGTAATATCTTTCCGTCCGTACCTGTATAAAACTACACAGTAAAAAAATATACATTTACGAGGTTTTTTTTAGGTAAAAGAAATTAATGAACACCTGTCGTCATTCCCATTATATTAAACATGTTGACTAAAGAGTTATTAGACTGAAATCATCAATTTGAAATGTTTTTGTGCCATAAGTTCAACAGAAACTGTTTTATCATAATTTTTTCGAAGAAAAATTTATGATTAATTTAAAAAAATAGAAACTTTTCTTTACTTAAAATATCACGGAAATGTATATTTTTTCACTTGGTAGTTTTATACAGGTACGGACAAAAAATAACTACTCTTCATGGCAGTTAAAACACATGCAGGTGGCGCCCCCTACCACCAATTTTCATCCAAATATTGACGTTACTTCAGAAATTATTTGAATACAATCGAAATAAAAGTGAAACTTCTACACCCTGTATCTCCGAAACTAAGCATTTTAGGACATACATTTATACGAACTTTTTTAATTATTTTTATCTCCAGAACATGCTGCCGAAGTTTGCGGAATACAGTTCGGACCATCCTGTATAGAGCTACCAAAAAGAAAGCCAAAATACCACCTACACCCACACACTTTTTTGAGATACCCTCTACACAAGTGAACAATTTTTTTCTCTTTTTAGTTCTTTATTATAGGACTTATATAAATGTTTGTTGGCATTGTCCCAGGATCCTGTATAGTTATTAACATCGCCATAGTATATAATCATAGTATAATCTTTCAGATCCATACGTCAAAGTTTACTTGGTATGGCAAGGGAAGCGGATCAAGAAAAAGAAAACTTCAGTAAGATACAACACTCTCAATCCGATTTTTAACGAAGCTTTAGTATTTGACGTCCCTGAAGAAACTATCGCAGAAGTGTCCCTATTGGTGAAAGTGATTGACTACGACAGGTAATAATATACTCGAATTACATTTACAACCTACTACTACTGCCATTACTCGCTGACGAGTATTTGACACGCATCAGAAGATGGTCACGCAAGGCGTTTTCTTTCATGAGCTTTTCTGTGACTGAAAACCCCGATACGTGATGTTATCTGCCTACCGCACTCCTGACATTCAAAAATCTCATTGCTTTGTTGCCTCTTTACTTTTTGGTTGTCGCTGTTAACTGAGTTTACAATTCTTCTCCATTGGGTTCTATTGTGAGCTGCTCCTTCCCACACATTCTGCATGTTAATCTCCTTTAAGTTTTCGTGAAAAATGTCCTTGTATCTTTTGAGTTGTCCACCCGGCCTCCTTGTACCGTCTACAAGCTCACCGTAAAGCAGACATTTACAACCACAACCACATGTGTAGCCATATTCAAAGGTATTATTGTACAGTATTATCCAATAACTAAAGAATATAAGGACATGTAACGCCCATATACGGGCTGCAGCAGAACTTATAGACGCCATTTTTTTGATGGCGACGAATGAGTCATCAGCTGGTCATATCAGCGACAATTTTAGCGATTTTGAATAGTTTGTGTATAGTGAACTTTGTATAAACTTTATTACAATGGCGACTAGTTGTTCAGCTTTCAAGTGTAAAAGCCGCAGCGATAAGAAAGAGCCAGGAGTTACGTTTCATAGGTAAATAAACAGTCCGCTCCACCTTTTTAGCGTTTTCTTATTGAATTCGATAATTATTTTTCTGATATTATATGTACTTGATGTGTGCTATACGTCGATACTAGTTTTGTACCTTTTACTAACAACAACTTACTTTTTTTCGTAATTAATGGTAAAGGTGTGGATCCGGTGGCTGACCTTGAAGCCCATATTTGCTGCATTTGATCATCGATACTACGCAAGCGCACATCGTCGATGTTGCCAAATTGCAGTTTATTTTCGAATTATTTTTAGTTAAAAACAAATGTTTACAAAATCTATAATTAATTTTATAATTTCAGATTTATCTTGATATCAAAAATTAAGGTAAGAAGGATAATGAAGATTGTGAAATGAAAGTATTATGAATATATAAAATTGTAATAATAATAACATTTATTTATATATTTACATTAGAATTTAGAATTAAAAATTATCATTTACGGATTTGTTCTTAATGGTTTTAAACTTATTAGAATTTTTTTTTTCTTTCAAGTTATTTCATTCCTAGTTATTTACAGGCAACAATAGTTTTGATTATATGTATTGATGTATTGAAGTAGTGCCATGACGAGTCTTATAGAACAATACACGTCAATGGGAGATAGAGGTAACATTTTACCTATAATGTTACTAATATAATATACTTTGATTATAATGTTTGTATCATAATTTCTTAAAAATATCAAGTTAGTGAATTAATAGCAATTTTAGACATATATTTTATTGAAGAGTGTGTTGATAAAACTAAAATAAGCTTTATGTTTTATCTTTTTCTCTTTAGAAGGGAGATAGTTTGTGTCGTAGAATACATTACAGTATTTAATATCGTGTACTTTGATATTCTTTTCTTAATTTACTGTAATTTCTTGTTTCCTATAATGCCAAATCTTTACAATATGGTGAAGGTTGAGTTTTGATCTGATATTAATATGATTAATATTAAGATCTTTCTTATAATATTTGTTATGTCTTAATCTTAGTACTATATTATACTTTGTCTGGAAAATAAATGTTAAAATATCTTAATTTTGCATATCCTATTCCATCCTTCCATTAGGAAAAATATAGTTTATAAATCATATATGCTAAGAAAATCACATAAATTAGTTGTAAGAATAGAGAAATCTTAAGGTAGCAGAAAAATTAATGCAATATATGTATAAGCAGAATTAAACAAGGTAAAACTGTTAATGTTGCTGAAGCTGATTCTACAATTTTAATTACGGAGGCTAAAAGGCCTTTTAAGGCCTCCGTAGTTTTGACGGAATGTTAAAAAAAATCTATTATGAACATGACATGGAGCTACAGCATTTAAAAATTTTAAAAAAGAAAAACTTGGACATATCCCTTTTAATTTCCCGAATTTCTAATAAAGCACTTTTTAAACGTAGCATAATAATCTAGAGCAATTAGATTAATTATAAGAATCTAGAGTTTTATTTATATTTAATTTTATTGACAATGAAAATACATAATAAGCGTTCACGTGTTGTGCGAAATATTAAAATAATAATATATATAAATACTATACCGCGTACTATGATTGAAAAAAAATAGCGTCAGCGATGACTATGAAATGAAGATAGCTGTCATTTTATATGGGAAATGTCCTCAATCATCATTTCCCAGCCAACTGGACGCCGTTATTTCGATCATACGGTATATATTGACAAAAAAAACACTGAAAAGCACATATTTGTTTTCTACTGAAAATAATTCCAAAATAACTTGCAATCTGGCAACATCGAAGATGTGCGCATGCGTAGTGTCTGTGACTATATGCAGCAAAAACTCGTTTCAAGGTCAGCCACCGGATCCACACCATTACCTAATTAATTAGTATGATACCACCGTATACACCATAAGCGCAGTCAAAATGTTTATCAAAAAATATAAATATCTCTTCAAACTGCTAGGTTAAGAAAAATATGTGCCACGGCACCAGGGTTCGGAAAACTACATGTTACTTTTAAAAACTACATAAACTACATTACATGTAGTTAATGTAGTTTATGTAGAGGGTGTAGTTTATGTAACGTATGTATGTAACTTTCAAATATCATAGATTTGAGGTGAGGTTATAATAAGTTGAAGCTTTAAAAACACATAATGTATTGAAGAAAACAGAAGAAATATGGCTTTAAATATAATATTTACATCATATTATCTCTATTACACCTCATACAAATGAAAATTATTCATAATATCAATACATAGTTTATTAACGTAGTTTTCATGTAGTTAATCAACGGAAAAAGTCGTAGTTTTTGAAGAAAAACTACACGTAGTTAATCAGGTAAATTACGTCTTAATTAACTACTTCCGAACCCTGCACGGCACTGTTTGCTGACATCGTAACAATTTGCTCTCGGGTGTTATTTGTCCTTGGATTCTTTAGTCATTGGTATTTTCAGAGTAAGTAAACCGAGGAGTAGCGACAGTCCGGTTTTCAATTTTCTTTGCGGCTGCGCGAAATAGATAGTATATCTGTCATATGAAGAAGCGAAGTTGCCACTATTGCCATTTATCAAATATCTCTATATACTCTATTTCAGGTATGCCTCAGGCAACGAATCATTTTTTTAATTATTTATTAGCTGTTAAAAGCATGTTAAAAGAAGATATTTTATACATTTAAATTTGGAAATAGGGATTATGGTCATGAATTTTTTGCTCGCGCTTAAAATAAAATAAAATAAAATATTCAACGTGTGTTATGTACCTAGGTATATAGTATCGTATGATCGAAAAAAAACGGCGTCCAGTTGGCATTTCCCATATAATTTTACATATAAAATGACAACGATCTTCATTTCGTTCACCAGCCATCGCTGATGCCGTTTTTTGTCGATCATACGGTAAGTATCTCTTAAATCACCGTGGTAGTGATATTAAAACAAACAAAACATATCTTACATCATCGCATTAAAATACAGGTAAAGGGTATAGCCGGATTAATATGGGAAATCTGCCCCCGCGGCTTTTTTAACTTGAACTCAGGGGATCGATTTGGTGTCGAATCAAAATAATTCACCTAAATTTTTAGCCCTTTAACTCAACGGGTTTCCGAGATTTTACAAAAAAAACTGTTTTTTCAATTTTATTATTATTTTTATAGTAAAATTCAAAATTAATTAATGACGTTTTTTTTCTAATTCTTAGAAGTCTAAGACATGAAAAAATACTATGATCATGATTCTTAAACGAAAAGCCGATTTTTAGCGGAGGAAAGAAATCAAAGAAGTCTTAATTTTTTTAACTTTTGTGAAATATGTCACTCACTAAAAAGTGACTTTGATACTCCTTTACACTCAATACAAAAAAAAAAACAATATGAAAAAAATTAAAAACTATTTTTTTTTCTAAAATCTTCTGTTTTGACTAACTTATATATTTTTGTTTAGTTTAAAACAGTGCGTAAAAAATATTTTTCATTAAAAATACATCCTTGCCAGAAATAAACATAAAGATTATTATAAAAAAATGAAGACATATTATTATTTATTCAGCTTGACGCGAATTTTTCAAAAACTTGGTCTACGTAATCATTGCATAGCAATATGATTGAAAATGTGTAATAAGCAATATCATTGTCAATCTGAAGTAAAAAAATATTTTCTACGCACATTTTTAAACTAAAAAACAATATAAGTTAGTTAAAAAGAAGATTTTAGAAAAAAAATAGAGTTTTTAATTTTTTTATATTGTTCCACATTGTTCCACTACTTCAAAAAATTCTAAAAAATTCCTGAGTGTAAAGAAGTATAAAAGACATTTTCTGACGATTTTTAGTGAATGACATATTTCACAAAGGTTAAAAAAATGAAGATTTTAATTTTCTTTCCTCCGCTAAAAATCGGCTTTTCGTTTAAGAATCATGATCATTGTATTTTTTCATGTCTTAGACTTCTAAGAATTAGAAAAGAATCATCACTAATTAATTTTGAATTTTACTATAAAAATAAAAATAAAAATAAAATTGAAAAAACAGTTTTTTTTGAAAATCGGAACAACCGTTTGAGTTAACGAGCTAAAAATTTAGGTGAATTATTTTGATTCGACACCAAATCGATCACCTGAGTGCGAGTCAAAAAGCCGCGGAGGCAGATTTCCCATATTAATCCGGCTATACCCTTTCAACCATTTCAAAAACAGAACTGTAAAATTGATTATAACTCGAAAATATAAATAGGTATAGTTTTAATTTCTTATAAATTTTATTATCTTTTGTTATTTGACAATAATTATCAAATTTCCAGGATTGGCTTAAATGAATTGATGGGTTGCTTCACCATTGGGCCAACGGATATAGGCAAAGGCAGAGATCACTGGACCGAAATGCTAGATAACCCCAGGACACCGATAGCTCAATGGTATCCGCTAACTGAATCTGTTCCGGGTGATATCCCATCCGTAAATGAAGGTTCCACATTACTGAACTGTCTTATAAGCAGGTAAAACAATAGTATTCATGGTTAGTAATAATTAAAAATGCTTAAATTAATAACAAAATCGATATTTTACTAGGAGATAAGAAAAGTTAATAAAAGTGTGACATACACACATGGCCAAAATTATTATTTATAACGATATTTTTATTTTATTTTGGACCTAATATGATTCTTTTTATACTTTTGGACATATTGGTTTACTACACGACTAACTAATATAAAATTAAAAATTTAAGTGCTACTAGGCTGTTATTATAATTTTATTTCATAATGAGTGAAAATCAACAAAAACAAATTTCATTTTAAACAGAAAATATTGACAACAATTTTAATTATTTCTCACAACTAATAGTCTGTATTGCCTCCTCGAGTCACAATGCAAGCTGTGAGACGACGTGGCATGCTCTCAATTAAATTGTCCAGAAGATGTTGAGGAATGGCTTCCCATGTTTCGTGCGCAGCAATTTTTAATTCATTTAAGGTACGGGAGGGATCGTTCCTTTTGGCAATATGGCATTTTAGCATGTTCCAAACATGCTCGATCACATTCATATCTGGAGACATCGGTGGCCACCACAGTTTTCTTATACCCTCTTCCTCACAAAATTCGCGAACCGCTAAAGTGCGATGGGGAGGAACATTATCATCGATGTAAACAAATTCATCCCTCACTGCCCCACGAAATGGACGCACAATAAGCTCTAAAACGTCTCTAAGATATGAGGCGCCTGTCATTGGGTCATCAATTAAAACAAGAGGAATTCGAGCTCCGTGCAATATATCTGCTCATATCATACTGCTTCCCCTTTAAAACGGAACACGGGTTTGATCTGCATTCAAGCGTGCTCGTCTTCCAGGTGCTCTCCAGACCAAAGTTCGTCGCGAGTCTGACACTAGGCCTATTCTTGTTTCATCTAGAGAGGCCTCCTGTAAATGTAATCCTCTGTCATGGAGTCTTCTTGCTATGGTCTTTCTTGAAACATTTACCCCTTCAAGGCGAGCTAACTCATTTTTAATAGCAGTACTAGAAAGCAGGGGAATGCGTCGTGCAATTAGGGATATTTGACGGTCTTGCACAACAGTATTAACTCTCTTTCTACCGCTTCCAGGCCGCTCTGTAACCTCGTTTGTCTCCCTTAATATTCGCGAAACATCGCTTTGGTTAACTCCTACAATTTCAGCTATTGCAACTTGCCGGTAGCCCTGTTGAGACAGTGTTACTATTCTGACTCTATTAAACTGTGAAATAATGTTTCTAGGCATTTTAAGGCCAAAACAATGGTCAAATTTCTTCTGAAACCCAAGAGACCACAAATCGAAATGTGCAAGAATTTGCAATAATATTGGGTCTGAACGATAAACATTGTTTTCTATATCCATTTTAACAAAAAAATGTTTATTACAGATTATCAAAGCTATGTATAAAAAAAGATTCTTTAAATTCCTTTCCGTATATTTTTAAACGATATGTGCAATAATTTTGGCCATGTGTGTAGATTCACAAGAGCCTATTTTTGAGATTTCGTTCAATGATTCAAGTCCTGACACAATTTTTCTCCAGATTTACCTCAAAAATCTCATTTCGAACGATCGGTTCGCTGTGCTCTAGTATTTTTCAGCCTTTAAAGTCGGATCTAAAAAATGGGTATACTACGTTTATTGAAAGTTTTCAGTTGTTTATTATATTTCTTACTGCGTCAATTAACAGAAGCATATTTAAACACAATTAAAACCACTGTATATACTAGAAATATGATTGGAACATGGACATTTGGCAGATCTGTACTTTTTAGTACTGTAAAAAATAAATTTTCTAAAGGTGCGTTCAGACTTAACGAGACGACGCGACGGCGAGACAAAAGCAAGACGAGAGCGAGGCATCTTCTATCCATTTTTTGAGGCAAACCTGCCACGAGACAAGCGAGTTGGATCATAGTGAAAAGAACCCAAACACATATTAAATTTTAATGGAATATAACAAACGATGACTAAATAATAACGCATATAGTAATAAATTTTTGTATCTTTAGCATTGTATACGACTTTAGCATTTTATTCATTGTCGGTTTTTTTCCCTTTTGGTTATTTTCCCCTTTAACCCTTCATTTGTTTCGAGGCACGACGTCTTTTACAAAATACGTTTTTTAGAACAAAATTCTAAATAGAGAAGTTTAAGATGCACAGTTTAAAATTACTGGATAGTATACAGGGTACATCAAAAAAGTGTTGTGGATATAACATATATTTTTAATGGGAATACCCTATTTTTATCATTCTAAGAGAGAAATAAAGGTGAGTTTTGTAAGAGAAGTATATGACTAAAATGTAAGGTTTTTGACATATTTAACATTTTCTAGAAATAAAGAACAATTTTTAAATTACAATAAATGCTACCTAAATTGGAATTTACCCGGTATAGACTAATTTAAATTAACAATTGTACTTTAAATCAAATTAAAACTTGATAAAAAAAAGCTATACAGGGTGAGACAAAATTATATTGAACATTGGTCTCCTTTAAAAGCAAGTTACTTTTTTATTTTAAATGGAACACCCAGTATATTATTCCGATATTGAATGAGGAATTCATGTCTCTTCAAAATACTATTAAGGTTGCCTACCTCTCAAACAAAGACTTTCATAGATATTTTTATTTTTATGCTTTAGTGTCAGTAGATCTTTATTATTTGATAAAATCTAGTTGGCCTGTAATGTGTCTAACGTTACTTCAAGATAGCTGCCTAATTAGTCCAACTTTAAAAACTAGTTATCATTTTGTGTCAGTTAATATAAGTTTGGAAACTTATATTACATCAGAGAGAATTTATATGATTCTTATTAGTTAGTGAATACAGTGCGCATTGTCTTGTTGAGACCCGTCCACACTTAGCAAATTTGGAATGTCTCGCGCTCGTCTCGCTCTCGTCTCGTCAGGTCTGGACGCACCTTTACAAAAAGGTTAATATTCCAGCGCTAAGCCTTAAGACCTCCAATGCTATTATTGTTGGTGGCTTTTAATATCTTTTGGTATATTTAAGTATACTTCAAATTCATATTTAAATATATTTTTTTTAGGTGAAGAACGGAGTCCCGGGTTGAGAGATAAAACGAATGTATCACTTAACTCAGGTAACAATTTAAATGGGTCTCCGAAGACTTTTGAGAAAACAGAAATGAAATCAATGGATTTGTATACTGTAGATTTTATATACACCGACACCTTAAAATGTCTGTCTCTTCTATATTAAACGCTCGCTGTGACAAAACAAAATAATATTTGAAACTGTTGTTGTGACTTCCGCCACTCAAGATGGAAAGGCTGTAATGTACAAAATGGTTGACTAGTTGGAAAATATTTATTATTAGAGATGTCTAAGAAAATGAGAAATTAAGAGAATGAAATATTTTAAGAGGAAAATTATTGTGCTAAATGTAATCTATTTTTAAATGTAAGGAATATAAACATAAAGTATATCATACATGCATAGTATATATAGTATAGTTCATATCAAATAAACTTTTAGTCACGTGATTAAGGTTGGCCGGCACAGCGTTGCCGACTTTTACATATCTTCTTTTATTCAAAATATTTTAGGAAACAAAAATATATTAATTATAAATATTCAAACAGTTATTATTTACATCAATAAAACTCACCTCCTTAACACTACTTAACGGATATAAAGGGCCATTACTACCGCTTTCCCGTTCAAAATATTCTAATAAAGTTGCGATGAGTTTTTTAAGGCTATTAATCTATTTTGTAAATTTCACACTAAATGAAGTTCTAAAAAGAACAATGTTCGACTGCTAGTAAAAAAATTTAAGCTTAAAATATCACAACAACAATTTTTTTAAACCAAAAACTCGTTTTAGGAAACTAAAATGTCAAAACGAAATGACAAAATGTCAGGAAGTTAATAAATAAATGTGGTAACTTGATATTTTATAAAGCAGAGATCATGGTACAAAGAAAACAAGGTATGATCGATAGCGGCTCCAATTTCGTTAAGTTTGCGCATACCACCTGTGACGTCATGCGCCAGACAAAAAATATCCATATTGTTCAATTGCCACTAATAAAAAAAGACCTAAAATAAGGAAGAATTAGGACATAACCCCAAAAGTTATGTCAAATCATGGAGCTTGACATTTGAAAAATTATTTTCACATTTATTATGTCATCTGTTTGACAATTTGAAATTGGCGCGCGGAGCTTGCCGACCAATGGTGCCGTTTATCACCTGTGACGTAATGACCAACCTGCGCAATATCAGACCTTGTATTCTTTGTATCATGAGCAGAGATATTACCTGAACCCTGAATCCTCAGTAGGAAATTTAAATTTCAGTTAGTCAGTCCGACGCCGAATATATCCATGTTTGGCAACAATTAATTTAAAAATCGCGCCCTCGATTACGTAACTAAAAGTTTAAGTGGTATCGAATATAGTATCACCTGAAGGTGTACTCTACTGAACGTCAAATACGTATATTTAGACTTACTACATAATCATTTGTCTAGGCTAAATCAATGCTATAATAAATTACATGTATCTTTGTGGATGAACAACCCTTCAACTTTAGTAATGTCATCATACTAAAAAGATTCCGAATTCCATTCCTAAGTCAAACTTTTCCACAATAAGTCTGGTTACTATACTGATATTAATCAAATGATGAGAGTTTATATATCCACGTAGGTACTAAGGGCTGGCAAAGGTTAGCCTTGGGTCGAGATTTCCGTATGTAAGAAGAGTACAACGCGTTTATAATGTACTGAACAAAGAGAGAACAGTAAACATGTTGCTAAACGTATTAAATAAACCGAGAAACTGTGAACATTGCTAAAAGACGTGGAAGGGGTTATACAGCAGATTTGTCGCAGTTGACCGGTCGCACAGTGCTTCGAACATATGGCTCTAGAAGACAAAAATGCAAAAATACTCTTTTATTGTAGGCAATTTATTCAAACTAGGTTTATTTGACACAAATGATGAGTACTCATTGTACTAAATGATGATGTTCTTAGTCCCACGTTTATGAAAAAAAATCTTATAAATAATAAAAAAGATGGAGCTGTGTTCCATCTAAGGAAATACTAATTTATAGTATGAAAACGGTGTAAGTATTAAATAAATCCCTGCAATAAAAATGAATTGAAATAACATTAGAACATGATTCCTACAATATAAGCCTAATATAAGATAAAAATGTTTTTCTTTAATGAAAAAAAAAATAATGTTATATTTAATTAAAAAAAAACTTAAGATACTATAAATTTACTTTAGGACAACAAAATGCATAGATCTTAACTACTCTGATTCAGAAGAATCACTGGTGTCAGAATCTTCCAAATTTATAGAATCCAAACCGCAGGTAGATGAAGTATCCTCACATGTAAGATATTTCTGTACATTATTTTCTAATATGTTACTTGAGTCGCCTAGTTTCAAAACCCCACAAATCCATTTTTCGAGAAAAATGAGTTATATATGTTAATGGATTCGTCTGCTAGTTCTTTACAACCTAACATCATATATACTTTGCAAACTGCGACAAATCTTATCATTTCCTGGCAATAAAATGTTGACTTTATATTTAATCTTTAACAACTCTAAAACAGTTTTTTCCAATTTCTCAACATTTGACTTTTGTGGATTTGTCGTGTTTTGAAACTAGGCGACTCACTTTTTCGCGTTGTTACTGTTCTTTTTGTTGGTATGAGGGTTTCGGATGTTAATAGTTACCTCTTTAATAGACCATATCCATATATTATTTTTTCATTTTCTTGGGTATGAGGTTTTATAATAAATTGAAAGATGGAAACTTTTTTATGCGACGTTTCGCTCCAACATAGTGGGCTTTTTCAGGCACAAGTGCTGTCTGATTTGAGTGGAAGGTTCATCAATACCTAATAAAGAACACATTTTTTGAAATAAAAATAATTTTGAGTTCTTGTCCTTATGATCAAGCCAAGTTTTAACCAGATCGGCATTGCTTATCAATTTTACTCCATCTGAAAAGTATTATAAAGTAAAGTTCGTCGCAAGCAGACGCAGGTGAACTATACAAAAATTAAAAGTGTATGAATATAACAACAAAAATATTCAATAAATACGATATGTTTTGATATGTTTTTTTGAAATGCCTTTTTGAAGTTTGAAAACGTACAATTTTTATACCCATTTAGAAATCATCTTAAAAAATAAATAAAAACTAAACAATCACGAACTTCTTCAGAAATAAATTTAAAGTACATACCTTGTTTAACAATATCCATAGTGGCTTTCAATTAAGTACGTACCGTTTAGCTCCATAATATACAGAACTACTATGAATGTTATTCTTTTCACTGATAAGATAATGATGGCAAAATTTATTTTTAGTGAAAATATTTGCTAACAAAAATCGCTGTTTATGAAAAATAATATACAGGATGGTTGAACATTGCTATAAGTATAAAATTACATATTCAGGTATTAGTAAATTTTAACTTTTTTTTTCGATTTTTGTCCATGGGACGAAGCACTGTGTGTCGAACCAAACCCAATCAGTACCTCTGTCAGTACTTAAAGTTCTAGTGTAAAGGTGTTTTCAAAAACTTGCTTCATATTTCTGCTGTATTTTCTTCGTAGATAGTATGTGAAAATCTTTATCAATAAAAAAACACACGATTGCTGAAAATTGCTAGGCTCTAAAAGTAAATGGATGGGTTATTTACAATTTTTGAATAGAAAAAAAAACAACCTTATTTTTCTTATATAAACATATTGTAAAAGATCCGATGTTCAAAATAAAAAAAGTTTCAATATATAAACTGGTTTTTGAGTTATGGCGTGTTATGTGTTAAAAAGTTGAGTTTTTAAATTATTGCGATTATTGACGTTTTCTCGTTATAAAAAAATGACACCCTAACGATATCCTTATAATTCCATTTCAGATGCTCAGAAACATATCTAATGATTTTATCTAGTTATCTTTTCGAAAAAAAAAGTCTTTTAAAAATAAGCGGTTTGCGATCGTGAATTTACTTGATAGGGAAAGGCATACCGGCAACGCCGCAACAGCACACCGTCGCATTTCTCTCACTCCGACTTAATAAGATCCCTATGCGATTTAGTGAGAGCGCACACCAAAGTGACGTAGCATCTGACGTGGCACGTAATCTGACAGGTAACATGCATCTAGCAAGTTACGTCGAATTGAACAAACGACAGTAAGTGTGTCATCGCAGACTGAAGCAGCGCTGTCAGAAACGTGTCATTTGTCGTTGTAGCATGCCATACCACTGCTTCAAAACTAGAACTGGTTCTACTTTTCACCACGTGCTATTAACACGTTACTCGAATTTGGCAAAAATGAAATTCGATCCGGACTTCAATATACGTTTTGTATCACTGATTGAGACTAAACCATGCATTTATGACCACACTCGTACCGATTATTCCAACAGGAATAAACAATACTTGGCATGGGAACAACTTTTCTAACTAACACATCAAAGCTAGGTTTCTTTTTTCATTCTATAAAATGATTGAAATCTTTCAGGATAAATATTCAATTCCTTAAAACACTAAATCCACTGTTCCTTGGTCTCTTTTTGCAAAACTGCTAACAAATCTTCATCCTCTGAGGACGACATGTTTACGCCACTGCCACATCACTTATATGTGCGCTTCCTGAAAAATCATGCAACGCTATTGCCATATCATTGCCAAGTATGTGCAACGTCATATGCTTCGTCACTTTGGTGGGCGCTCTCCCTTACTTCCACACCTGTAAATATCGACCCAAAAGTAACAGTTGCCAGCACGGTATCAGACAGCATGATCTAAGCCACTACCATACGATCGAAAAAAAAACGGCGTCAAAGACGGCTGGGAAATACAAATCGATGATAATTTTGCGTCATTTACTTTCCAGTATTTTTCTTTATTTCTTAATGACGCTTATTGCCAGTTGGCCTTAAGAACGTTATAAGAGATTTTTATATTATTGAGTAAGAATAATTTTTAAAATTCGAGAAAAAAGATTTTTTGGCAAATAAATAAATGACTAAATGACGTCTAGATATTGACCTCGCCAACATTATCATTGATCGTAGTTCCCCAGCCGTCATTGACGTCGTTTTCTTTTTCGATCATACGTTATTGTAGTCTTGGTGCATTATCTGCTAGTGCTGCCGCTATTGGAGAATTACATAAGCAATCGAGGGAATGTCGTCGATGTTCATTTCCAAGCCGACTAGATGTCGTTTTTTTTGTACATACGTTACAATCATATGTAAAAGTTTTTTTACTATAAAACAAATTGAATTATGATTTAAAAATATATTTTATTGTGTATTTATTTGGAATATATA